GGCTCCGCGCGGCCGTGACGGCACCGCCGCGGCCTGCGCCCCTGCAGCCGGACCCTGCACAGGGCTGTCCCCAAGACGCCCCCTCGGAACAAGCAAAGGGCAAACGTTTGCACCCGCCAAGGGCAGATTGCAAGTGTTGGCAAACAAACAGCAAGGGAAGCGGCCGCCTTGCTCCGTCGGCGCGAGTTCATCACCGCAGCGGCGCAAGCAGCTCCTGCCGAGGGAATCGAGGACAGACCCGGAGCGAGAGCAGCGTCCACAGGGCCCCGGAGCTCAGGGCCGGCTCTGCAAGGAGCACCCGAGCGCAGGGCGCTCCGGCGGGAGCCGTCGCCGAAGCGCGGAGAGCGGCGCTCCGACGGCACCGCGACGCGGACGAGCGCCCGAGCCGTGGGCGGCCTCCCCCGCTTTAATGAATAGACGATGGCTGCCATCCCTTACTTATCTCCCAGGATGAAACAGTAAATAAAATCTGGTAGAACCCACAAATTTAGCTCAGTTACGGCTGTCTATTGGGACTGAAGTGTTAGACTTGCTGGGTAGTTCTGAGGTGGATTCGGAGTGAGTCTCTGCAGGGATTTTAAATTCCGCCCTCGGATGGTGGGAGAGGAGCCTCTGCGCCCGCCGGGGGCTTGCGCGGGCTGCAGAGCAGGTCGGACACTGAAACCTGGCCCGTGTGGTCCTGGCTGGAGCAGGTGCCTGCGGCTCACACGGGCTCGGAGGAGTGAATTCCCAGGAGGATGGAGCTCACGGGGCGCTGGAGGCCGCGCACTGTCCGTGCTGTCCAGGCTTCCAATGGGAAGCAGGGCTTTCCAGCAGGGAGCGCAGAGGAACTAGCGGGAGCATCCCGAGCCTGAGGGAAGGGGCTGCCCTCCTTGTCATGTTAATAAAGCTTTTCTGTAGCTAATGAGTGGCCACCTCAGCTCCTATCCCGGACAAGTTATCCAGGGAAGGGCTGAGGCCGGCGGGACCCCCACGGCAGCAGGGTCCCCACGGCTCCATGTGCAGCTTTGTGGGCGCTCCGAGGAGCTGTGCCGAGGCCGTAGGGGGTGCACGATCCACCCGGGACAGCTCCTGCTGCCCTGGCCACGGCCTGCGGTGCCGGTGCCGGTGCCGCTCCAGCTCCGTTCCCTCCTGCCCCTGCGGCTGTTGGACGCAATGAGCTTCACTCCCCCAGCAAAGAGAGGGAATATCCATAATTCCACACCGCGGCAATCGGGGTCTTATTCTTTCTTTGGACATGTCGCAAGAGGCACAATAGGATTAACCTTAAAAATGTAAGCTTTTCTTTGCCGGCGCAAGATAGATTTATCATATTTTCTCCTTTTTTAATACTGGATTCTTACTGCAGACAATGATGTATTGAATAATCAATTTCCTTATCTCCCTAATACATTAAAGTGATCCATCAGTGCCAGATAATCAATCCAGCTTGTGATTTTAAGTGTGTAGGAGTGCATGTGTGTGTACTCGTATTTATATTTTCATCCTGAATCACACCATATCATTGTCAGGCTAAATAAAGTCTCCCTTTCTCTCTCCTCCTTCAGCGAGGGTTGTTTATGGCGTGTAAGAGGAAATCATGATGTTATATTACACCTTGTAAGTTTTACGGTACTTGAGAGGTTTATGCGGTATGAATGTAAAGGGCAATGCAATAATACAAAGGGCAGCGAGACATTTTTAAGCACGGAGGATACACAAGGCGCTGCAGAGATAAATCTGGGTGGATAATCGTTCCAGACTGTCGCTCCGGGGAGGGAGGCGTTTGCAGCCGA